TCTATCTATCTATCTATCTATCTATCTATCTATCTATCTATCTATCTTTTACAGAGAGTTTTATGGTCTTTGTGGGGATTTAGCTCCCTTTGACAGTTGTAAGATCTTCTTGGACCGTTTCCTCCTCATCCCAGGAAACGCATCACCCTCTGACACACGCTTACGCTGGGCCCTCTCACACACACAGCGCCACACCTCTCCCCACACACACACACACACACACACACACACACACTCACAGGCGGCGACATGACATCCTGCCCACTTGTGGAAGTGTGCCGCTGCAGACAGCTGTGTCTTCGCCGCGTCGGGTAAAGAACAGACCTCTCCTTCCTGTTTTAAAGCCTCTTTAACTGTTATTATCTGGGACGTGGAGTAGGATTCTCCCCAGGGGCTGCGACTTCACTCTGACAGTATGTGTGTGTGTGTGTGTGTGTGTCAGGTCTGGGAACTAGTTCTAGTTCTGTGTGACTGCCTCTTTCAGCTCAGGGACCAGAGTAATGGTAGGACCAGAAATTGGCTCAATAATCCTGCTTGATCTGTACTGTTGTTACAATAGAGGTTCCATTGTTTGGTCTTTTAAAGGCTTCATTCTGAAAAAATCGATCAGACAGAAACTGTCCAAACTGCCTGGATGTCTTCGTGTTAACGGTTCTGCTCTGGTAGGATGTGTGTTGTGAAAATCGTTCAGTTGCGCAAGCAGTTCTTATGCCGTTAAAAAGCACAGATCTGCCTGCCAGAGGAAATCGGAACATTTATTATGAACATTTTCAGTAATGCAGATCAAATCCAAAGATAGACATGAAATTCCATAGCAGAGCAAATCAATACCTGCCCCCCCCATGGGGGACCCTAACAGGCCTCCGTGACATAACATGTAGAGACACATAGCAACCGTTTTCTCTCTTCTCTCTTCTTTCCAATGTAAATGGTAACATTTAACCTTACTAACGGCTTCAGTTGGGTTTATATAAATGTATAGACGCAGAAAACACTACAAACCACCAACTGATTAGCTGTAGAAGTCACACTAGGCATGTCCGTCGCTCAGTAACTCGTTTAAAAAGGCACAAATGTGCCTAATATTTCCCGTTTGTTTCCATTGATCTAATATCCATAGCCATTCAATAATAATCAATGTAAATATAGTCATTTTTGGCTACATCTAAACATATTTCTATTTGTTATTTGAATAATTGCACAGTTTCCAAGCTTATTTTGATCCTATATTTTTTAATTGCATGCACTTCCATAATATTAGTTCAATTAGTTAGTATATTAGTTTGGGAAATTCGGTTGTACAAGTGTAACTGGATATTTAAATAAGTCATTTCAGGGGTAAATATGCGTCCTGTGGTTGGTGGCTTCGTCACTCTTAACCAGACCCTGTGAAATCAAACAAGAAGTTAGTTAGCCGAACAAGCTGGTCAAAACCAAAGCTGGAAATGTTTTATATAAGTGTGTTTCCCCCCGGTGGAAACAACTCCGTGTTAAGTTCCATAGCTTTGCTTTAAAGGTGCAGTTCGCTCAAATGAGGTGAAGTTCAGCTAAAAATGTCACAGACGACAGAGTCCCACTTCCGTCTTCTCATTTCTGTCTCTGGGCTTCTTCCTGACTCTTAAAGCGAGGCAAAAGATGAACTGCTTTCACTTTTTTTTAGTTTAGAGCTCTTTAAGAGCGTCTTTATTGTGACTGGGAAGTCGTTTTTTCATTGGTCTGGAAGGTTACGGTTAAGTAACCACGAGCCTAACCGCACCCCCCCTCTGCTCACGGCTGTATCCGAACCCACACCGACTCAGACCGAGACCAGAGTGTCTGTCAGACCTGATCCCCCCCACAGCCGGGGGGGGGGGGGGGTCTGGGTCCCCTCAGATGGACTGTGGCTCACAGGTTCACCTTTCATCTCATTATTTTAAGCGTCCCGTTTTGTTTAGAAGGTTTCACAGGCTAGACAGGTTCGCTTTTGCCCCCTAACACGTTTAGAATAGTTTTTGTATTTTTAAAGTACATGTTTTATTGAGTTTCATCCACAAACAAGACACGGCCAAGTGTCATGGATCGCGTCCCCAATAAGAGAATAGCCCTCCAAAGATGATAATGAAGGATAATAGCAATAAAAACAAGTCAAGTCAAGTCAAACTTTATTTATATAGCACATTTAAAATGACCAAGGTTGCCAAAGTGCTGTACATAAAAAGCATGTATATGTGATTTTAATGTAAAAATAAATAAATAAAAATAAATAAAAAAGGTAAAAAGGTGCTCTACCTCAACCTAAGGTTAAAATGTTAAAAGCCATGTCGAATAAATGTGTTTTTAAACAGGACTTAAACACTTCTATGGTCTGGGCAGCTCTTATAATAGAAGGCAAGCTATTCCAGAGCTTTGGGGCGACCACACTAAAGGCTCATTGAGCATAAAAAAAGAAAGACAGAATGGGTCACATTCGGCTCACAAGTTCAGTAAAAAGATATTTAAAAACAATGATAAAAATTAGGCAGGAGACTTGGTTAAAAAATTTTTTTTAAGAATTGAGGTACAAAATACTTAATAATAAATATAGAATTATCCAAGAAAACATTTGATTTTTTTTGTAATAATACAAATAGATAAAAACTTAATAAGAATTCTAAATTTAAAACTTTATAGGAACTATAAATAGAAAAAAATAGAACTATATCCAGTCCAATAAAAAACAAGAAAGGCTCCCATAAGACATTATCCTTGTGATGTAATTCACATGTCAGCTCGTCCAATGCGACCTTGTGCCCGCCTGTTTGGGATGGGACCCTATCTCTTATCGCACAACTTCTAGCACAAAATGTTCACGTTTTGTACAGTTTCCTTATATATTTTCTGTTCTGTCTATTTGGAACCCAGGCAGCATAAACAGTGGATCCACAGACAGTGAGTGGGACCACCTGCTTCTGTTTGAGTCCAGTCCAACTGCTTTGACTCCGTTAAATATAGAGTAGTTAAAGGCCACCTGAAAATCATTTAGTATTTTATCTGTTGCATATAGTAAAGTCGCATTCACCAGTTCAGTCTTCTGTTTAAAAGAAGAAAGAAAAAAAAGAATATTGACATGCATTTTTCTTTCTAGAATAAGGATTTTCTTTTTTAACTAAGAGTTTGGCAATGCATTAAGCTATTCTGAGTAGACGCCTGATATTTGTAGTCACAGTTTCTGATGCCATTTGACAAAAAAAACAAAAAGCTGTATGAATGAAAGCAGCTTTATTGGCTTGTGAGGAGGGCACTGACCCAGGTGAGAGCAGTTTGTGGTCAGTGGCTGGACTCAGTGATGAGTGCGCTGTAAAGCGCTTTGAGTGGTCAGTTCGACTGGAAAAGCCGGTCCACTGACCACACTGTCTGAATTGCCTTTAATCTAATAAGCTTTTGACCTAATGTGCATTGTAAAAAAATGTGTCTGCCATTGTAATAACACAGTTATTACTTGTTTTTCCCTAATATCATGAATATGAGACAGCTGAGTCACGCAGAGCTCCAGGTTGGAGTTCAGTGATGTAATCTGTCTGTCTTTAATTCAGTTGCTGGACGTTGATACGGCTGATTTTTAATCCATGTTGTCACGCTGGTCACTCTGTAAATCTGCCCCCCACCCCCAAAAACGAAGGGCAAGGATCTTGTTGGGGTTGTTATCAGGGTGCTGACCGCTGACCGGTGCCTCCGACTGACAGCCACTGCTAGGTGAAGGATCCCGGTGGGGGAGGAGGGCGCACTTCTTCTGCTCTCAGGGATTAGTGGAAGCTCCTTGGTGCATTTGCATGTGAATAGATCCTGGGGCTGCAATCCAAGGGCACCCCCTCCCTCCCTCCCTCTCTCTCTCTCTCTCTCTCTCTCTCTCTCTCTCTCTCTCTCTCTGTTTCTCTGTCTCTTAACCTTTCTTCACTCTGTTCCTGACATCAGGCAGAACTAGGGAGAGGGGGAGTAAGGCAGGCGGCGAGGGAAAAAGAGTGCATCCCTGATTCAACAGATAAACTCTGACGGGTTTTAGGAAGTGGTCTTGAGAGGAGTCCCTGTAGGACTAGTCCCTTAGTTGACTTTTGTGGATGGGAGAAGGTAAGAAAGTTTCTTTCTTGGATTTTTTTTTTTTTTTTTTTGGGTTTTTGTCCCTTTGTGGGGGTTTTGGGGGGGGGGGGGGGGTCACCAAAACCATGCTCAGTGTTCTGGGCTAACAATGAGAGCAGATCGGACTGGTCCACTCCAGTCCGGACGGGGGTGGTGAAGCTGTTAGGCCTCGGCTGTTTCTTTCACACCGTTGGCTGGAACGAGTTCTCCAAAAAGGCGCTTTTGCAGGAAAACGCCGCCGACCGCGGCCTGTTAGGAGTCTCCATCCTGTAGGTTTACCCCGGAGTCCAGGTCCTTCACCCCGCTCTGAAAAGTGAGACTTTCTGAGCAGTTTAGGTGCTGTATCTTTCTGGATGTATCCAACATGTGGTTCCAGCATTTTCTTTGAGAAAGAGAAGATATCACCTATTCAAGCTAACAGTTCAAAACTGAGTCAGTTTAAACATGAGCATCACATTAAACGCTCAAGAGTAATTATCATTAAATATTTGATATATTTGCTTCTAAAGGAACCTAATTTACTTCCCCAGTGCATTTATTTTTGCAGAAATGCCTTTCTTTTAAAGAACTATAGCTTTTTTTTACTATATATATATATATTTATAACATATATGTAATGTGTGAGCTACTGTATCTGAGATAGAAGCTCCCAGTAATGTGCTTGTCAGTTGAAAATATTTCTGCTGCATTGATATATTCGCTGGGGGCGGAACAAAATTGCTCATTGGTTTAGATGATTCACAAACCATTCGTTTTGAACTCCTCCGGTCACCTGACAGACCTGATTTGCCGAACTTGAAAGCTTTCTTTTGTAGGCCTGGTCAGTCGGCTTTAACTGGACGAAGGGCCAAGCTTTGATTTATCTGTTTCCAAAAGGAGCCCCTCATTAGATCGAGGGACTTAATAATTAAGTCCATAAAAAAACCTCTACAAATGCATATCATGAGCCAAAGAAACTTGTTTGTTTTCTTTGATGGACAGGTGATTATTCTGCTTGGGCTCAGGATGGACTGCTTCTGCTAAAGATAAAACTCACTGCCAAGCCCAGAAGCACACACAAGAAAAATAAGAATAATCTGCATTTAACATGTCTTTTCTAACAGCTTTGCTCTTTAAATCAGCAGGTTTTTATTTAAATCTCTCCAACTGGAGACACAAATGGCAACGATTACCTGTAAATTCAGAAAAGCTACTTCCTCTTGTAAGCTACAGCTTTTAAAACTGTTTAGATGTCAGCCTTAAATTCTATTTAAAAAAAAGACTATGATAATCTGGGTCAGTTACCCCTCTCTACACACCTCAGACAGTGATTTTAATGACAGAAATCTGATCCAAAAATCAGTTTGAACAGAGTTGTGTGCTCAGCTTTTCACTCGATGAAGCTACAATAACCAGGAAAGGGCTTCACTACAACATTTTAGAAACACAAACAGCAACTGTCATGGCTAAAATATGGCAAGATGGCGGATAATTTCATATACACGTGTGACATAATTCTCTGTACAGATGTTGGACATCAGCTTCCTGGTTTAAAGGGGATGCTGCCTCTATCAATCTGGGATTTTAGCAGAGTAGTGCCACTATCCAGAAAGTCTTTGTGTTGTCTTTGTGGACTCACAACTGAGCCTAGATGTGCAGGAGTTCTTTGAAATCCCATTTTAAAAGTCAATTTTTGTCTGGATTAAGAACAATCGTGTTTTTTCTGGATGCATTTGAACATTTTTTTGCTTTTTTAAAAGAAATCCTGCTTTTTATGTAAGAAATGTCAGGGCATGGTTTGCAGGATTAAATCCTGCAAATAAATCAATCTAATATCTAAAAATATCTAATAAATTTCGAAAAAATAGTTCAGTGATTCAGTATCTGTCGGTCAAACTATTTCTTTTAAACGTAGAGGGTCAAACATAGTTTTGGCTGTTTGGTTGTGACTATTAACATAATTTAATTAGTTTAAAATAAAATGCCACGTTGTCCGAAGCCCCATAGTGGAGAGGAAACACATATTGCCTCAGTCTCCCACTGCTCCACTCTGCCCTGACTCATGAGGATTAGTTCTATTCCAGTTGCTGTACAGTTGGGTATTTATAGCTGATTAAATTATGTGGGCAAACAGTGATCGGGTGTGTGTTTGTGAGCGTCTTTATGTGTGTTTTTTCTCTGTTTGAGAGAGAAAGAATGTTCTTTCTCGCTTGTGGAGTCATGCAGAATCTCCACGCGTGGGTCACGCTGAACGGCGGTGTCATGGCACCTGAGAGCGTGTGGGGCTTCGTACCGGCGCAGCTTAAAGTTAAACGTGGGGGCCGCGGGCGCCGGCCAATCCTCTTACGCCGCACACACACACACACACACACACACACACACACACACACACACACACACACACACACACACACACACACACACACACACACACACACACAAAAACACACACACACACACACACACACACACACACACACACACACACACACACACATACACAGACAGACAAGAGGAGATAGACACGGTTCAGCTGAGGTCTGAGAGAGAGCATGCTGTGATCCTTATGGAAACTAATGCAGTTCCTCTTCTCAAATGAGACGATGTCTGACTGTACCTGAGATACCAGAGACACACAGCTTTTTTAAAAAGTTTTTCATTGGCTTTTCCATCCTGTCTGCGTCCTCACAACAAGTCTTTATTGATGGGAGATCTGATCACAATTTCAACAGTCAAAGCTCTCAAAAAATAGGATTTCTGGATGATTAAACAAAAGGAGCCATCTTAACCTGTCTTCCTTTTGTGGGCAATCAGTATATTTTCCTCATATTTGACCCGTTTTCATGCATGAATTATGATCGTCTCAGTCAGGATTTTTTCCCAAAGTGTTTTCGATTTTCATCATATTTTAAAAAAGTCGATTTTTTTTCATAATCAAGGACTTCCAGATGTCATCCAAAAGACAGCACACGTTTTATGATCTCTTACTAATGAAATGTGATATATATTTTGACATTTGTTAACAGAATGCATGGCCATAGAACTAGCACGCAGCGCTTATCCCATTCAAGTATTCCCTTTTCTCACTCATTCAACCCCTTGATTTATTTTAGCTGAGCTCAGCTCCTCCTTAACAGTACATTATTGCCCATATAAAACATAAAAACCCATACATGCACAAGATATGTTATATAGCTGCCCACTGTGTTTCACTATGCGTGAAAGGGTTAAAAAAAACTGGGTTCTGGAGGTGTGTTTCATGTATCTCTAATATCATTAATCCAAACAGTGTAAATAGATCATTTTCCTTATTCCCATGGGATGGAAGCACACATGCCGGCCACCCTACCGTCAATAAGTCGGCTTTGCTCCAGTTGGACACCCTGAATGAGCTTTACATGTCACCAAACAAATGATATTGATATCAAAACCGTCTCAAAGTTTGTTTTATTCTCATCTGAAAGCGATTTGTTCCTTTTTTTATGCCTACAGAAGCTTCTGGAGAGTTGCAGACAGAAGGATTCACCCTAATGGAGGAGAGAGGGGAGAAGGAGAGAGGCATCATAGGAGAAGAGCAAGAGGATGAGGGCAAAACTAAAGGATACCAAAACAACGAGACGTCCCCAACGGAGAAGGACAACCGCGTGGACCTGCATAAAGACACACAGGAGAATGGCAAAGAAACCGGAATGGAGGTTGGAGAGCCTGAAAACGGGACAGAGCTGGAGGCGGAGGTGAGAGTGGAGCTCTTCCAGTCCGGCCCGGACCTGCAGACCAGCTACATCCAGGGCTCGGACCTGTTCGGGTATGTGGGCATCGAGGCGGTTCTGGACCAGATGAGGCACAAGACCATGAAGGCTGGCTTTGAGTTCAACATCATGGTGGTTGGTAAGTCAAACCCCATTAGAACTCAGTAAATAAGGCCCCCCACTGCTGTTCATCCTCCTGAGAGGCCAGCTTTTATCTGGTTCTGCTTTGTCCCAGATCTCTGGATCAGTAGGAGCTGATGAGTTTAAGAACTAGATTTTGTCCTGGTACAGGTAGTTTTTCTTAAGTAGTTTATATATTTGTATTTAGAATATGTATTTTTGTTCGGAAGGTCCAAATGTTAAAAAGATTTGTGTCTGAGGATGCTGGGACTCAGGAGGTTAATCTCTATTGTAGAGATGTATCTCCACAAATGAGGAACAGCGTAATGTTCATAATGATGTGAAATTGCCATTATGACAAACACCAGATTATTTAAACTTGTACGATAAAGTTTCCAGGTTTTTTATGTAAGTCAAGTCATCAGAGGTGAAAGGTCAGCGTGGTGTGAGTGTGTATATATATATATATATATATATCTAAAGAGAGAGAGAGAGAGAGAGGGAGAGAAAGAGATGTTATTATTATTCTGTTGTGTAATGTCTATAAAGCCTTTATATTTAGCTTCAAATCTGACCTAAGACACTGGATTGTCAAACTGATGCGAAAATCCAATTAAAAGTAAGAAAATCTTTCTAAAAAAGTAATTTCAAATGACACAGCTGTTATTCAGTTCCTTTTTCAAATTAGACTCTTTTCCAAAATTATCTGCTTTGACATCAGTGTTTCAATGTGATATATTTTTTTAAATTACAGCAAACCAAGGATTTTATGAGATAAATGTTAATTTTGCTTCCCATGAACTGAATCTCAACAGAAACCGCTCACATATTAGGAATGTTGGGTTGCCATGGTGACCAACATGCGATCAAATGTCCCTTTTGTCTCTCAGATATTAAGTTACTTGTGTTAAAAATGGCTGAGCAGAGAGTGCACGTTTGTGCCGCGTCTCTTCCCCTTCGACTCGGCTCATTTGCCTTTCATAGTGGAAGGGGAAGTACCGATCTGGGAGGAAGTGGTTCTGAGAACTGGGCCCGGCTGCTACTTCCTGCTACTCACAAATGAGTCGATAAGCACTTCCCCCGCCGCTCGACCGAAAACAGTTTTACCCAGAATTCTTATTCTTCTCTTATGGAGTATAAAGGTCCCCCAGCTTCTGAAGCCCTCTTCTGCTGCCGCTGGGCAGTGAGCCGGGCCTCGGCTGCAGCCTCTGGACTCTGCGGGCAGTTTATGAGGGCTTTTTATTCTGACCCAGTCCACTGAGTGCGTGCCTTTTGTTTGTTTGTTGCAGGTCAGAGCGGTCTGGGCAAGTCCACTCTGGTCAACACTCTGTTCAAGTCCAAAGTCAGCCGGAAGTCCTGCACGCCCAGTTATGAGGAAAAGATATCCAAAACCGTCAAGCTGCACACCGTCAGTCATGGTGAGCTGCATGTGGGGAAAGAAACACATTATTGCTCTGAATCTGGGTATTTAGTACGGCCGCCCCCAGCCCTCACAGGAACCTGCCCACACAGTGGACGGACAGTGGACAGTGGGTGTGCGCTCAGATCTGGGGTTTCATTTGTTCTGGCCGCTGTGAAACTATTCAGGGGCTGCTCTCACATCCTACTTTCACATCACTTTTCCCTTCACTCGCTTGTGTCACGTACAGGAATCTCAGTGTGGGCTGTGAGTGTGTTTCACAGGGTCAACAGGCCCGTTTCTCAGATGAACGGCCACTTACGCTCTTTTCAGATGTGTGCAAATATAAACAAAGTCGGAGAACACATCCCAGAAAAAGTCAGTTAAATGAACATCTCGTTTGCTTTCAATCCTTAGATATTATTGAAATTTGAAATCCAAAGTGATATCTCATTTTCATAGAGGGATCAGTCAATTATTATTATTAAGTTATTATGTTATTAAGAGCATTTGTTTGTGGGACAACAAAAACATCAGCAGAAGCTGAAAACAGACTAAAACTAAACAGGAGAAAAAAAACAAAAAAAGAATTACAAAACCAAAAGAAAAAAAATCTAATCGTCCAATCCAAACTGCAAAAGCAGACACATTCATCACACATTGAGTGTTTTTCAGAGGGTGGTTTGGAATATTTATGGCCCACTTCTTACAAAGGTGTGAACACAACTGTGTCTGGGCCCAAACTGAAATCTGACTCACCTCCATGAAAGATGCTGGTTCCAACAGGAAGATTTATTACGTGTTGATGTCCGTGCAGCGATGCGTTTAAGGACACCCTGTATATTTTGGATTCCAGTACATCCTTTAGCTGGCGTCCAGTTGTTTTTATACCTACACAGATTTACATATCTGCCTCAACTTCAGCCTTTGCAGACAGTTGTTTGCTCACATTCCACAGTTTTTTAAGGGTTTATTTTGTTTTACATCAAAGAGAGAGTCATGGGATTTCTCATTTGAACTTGAAGGAGCCCTGGGAGTGTGAAAAATCGACATAGTCGTTATTTTCTGAGTCCGTGATTTACAGGGAGAAGCAGTGCCTCCTTCAGGCATTTCACCTGATGTTGTCGGGGGAAGTAAGAGTCCCAAACAATTAATTTAGCTCCATCACCGGGTCATATCCAACCAGAATTTGTCCCAGCGTGAGTTTAGTCCAATCTAAAAAAAATGCACATTGCCTTGAGAGATAGTGATTATGAGTTGTACACTATTATTTGGCACATTTGACCTATTTCTTCTAGAAAGAAATCAGAAAACCTATTTAAAGCAACACTAGCTAAGTAAGCTGGGGTTGTAAGAGCATAAAGCACTTTGTTTTAAGCTGGTGACATTTGTATTCCCCATGTTGGTTTTCTACTTCTGGGAAGTTGAAGTGTTTAGGAAATATGCTCTGAGCTAATCTGTTGTCAAACATGGCCGTATGAATGTAAGCCAGTCATTTATGAGCCGAGGGGATGTGTGCGGCCCACAGCAAACACATCCAGACAAACCACAAGAGCGTGTTCAGACAGCTGCCTCTGGTCATGTGACTGTCCCCCACAGTACAGGTTTGGACCCATCTTAGAGCTGAGAGTAGGACGCTGCAGCACCTCCATTAGGGCTTTGAAACTGATTAAGGGTTCAGGTCATTTGTCTGTATGTAAACAGGAAATGTGGTGAACGCTGCCAGTTAAAGGTGGAGAGACTCTGCTCTGTCTTGGCAACAGCGAAGACGCACTTTTATTACAGGTTAGCGGATCTCCTACTGGTCCGGCTCCAGATGTTTGCTGTCATGCTTCCGATCAGAGGAGATTCCTGCGTGCTTACTCAACAATGACTCTACGCCCAAATGATAGCCCTTTTTTTACCCCCCAGCTCTCCTTCCGGCGCTCACAGGGCCGCGGCTAACTTTGATCTCGTCATCGCACAAATAACTGTAGCAAATGAAAGCGTAGGGACCGGCTCGCCTCACGTCTGCTTCCACCTCAAAGCCCACACCGATGCCCAACCAGAAGCCCTTTATCAGAATCAGAAATACTTTAAGTGGCACCTCAGATAGTATGGCAAGATTATAATAACATGCAGAGCAGGGCGCTCTCCAGTTATGCTGGAGAGTGATGTTGTGTGTCTTTTAGGGGACACCTGAAGTCAACTAACTTTAGTCACTATGTGAATATCTAGTCTATAATGTGTATCTTTAGTCATTAATATGTGAATATCTAGTCTATAATGTGTATCTTTAGTCATTAATATGTGAATATCTAGTCTATAATGTGTGTCTTTAGTCATTAAAATGGGAATATCTAGTCTATAATGTGTATCTTTAGACAGTAATATGTGAATATCTAGTCTATAATGTGTATCTTTAGACACTTATATGGGAATATGAAGTCTATAATGTGTATCTTTAGTCACTAATATGCAAATATCTAGTCTGTCTTGTGTATCTTTAGTCACTAATATGTGAATATCTAGTCTATAATGTGTGTCTTTAGTCACTAATATTTGAACATCTAGTCTACAATGTGTATCTTTAGTCATTAACATGTGAATATCTAGTCTATAATGTGTATCTTTAGTCAGTAATATGTGAATATCTAGTCTGTCTTGTGTATCTTTAGTCACTAATATGTGAATATCTAGTCTATAATGTGTATCTTTAGTCACTAATATGTGAATATCTAGTCTATAATGTGTATCTTTAGTCACTAATATGTGAATATCTAGTCTATAATGTGTATCTTTAGTCACTAATATGTGACTATCTAGTCTATAATGTGTGTCTTTAGGCACTAATATGTGAATATCTAGTCTGTCTTGAATATCTTTAGTTCCTAGTATGTATATATCTAGTCTGATGTGTATCTTTAGTTTGTTTTATGGGTAAATTAGTCTTTAAGGGGTACAGATTTTAGTTTATACATAGGAAAGTTCTTTTGAGTTATTTAAGGAAGTTCCTAGTAAATGGACTGTCACTTAGTATTAGAACTGTTGTTAGGATGGGTCGGTGCTGTTACTGTGACAGTTCATTTACGGTTCAGTGTGAGGAATGTCTTATCTTGTCCCACCTAGGATAGCGAGGACCTAATTTAGATTCCTTTGTGTGTCTGGTGCATGTGGTGAAATTGAGCGTAAAACAGACTTTGACTTTGAGGTCAGCTATGTAAGAATTAGCTGTGAATTACCACACAAGGATATTTCTTTGATAAAAAGCGGATTCCTTTTTTCATTTCTGTCTTGCGTGTTAAGTGATATAAATGATCTGTCACAGAAATAACAGTTTTATATCAGCCGTCCGTTACTGAAATAAGCACGACATTTGCCTTTATTCAATTTACCGCATAGTGCAATACCCTTTTCTTCTAATCTGTCCCATCCAGTAATTGAGGAAAAGGGGGTAAAGATGAAGCTGACGGTGATTGACACGCCAGGGTTTGGAGACCAGATCAACAATGAGAACTGGTGAGTTGGAGAATGGTGGAGACAAAAAAAAGAAGCAAATTATTGTTTTGATGAAGCTATTTGAACTAATTCATTCATTCATGAACGGATAATTTGCTTGATGTGAAATGTATATAATTTCACTTTAGTGGGGGGGGTTCTTTCCCTCGTATTAACTTTAAATAAGGTGATGTTACGCAGTGTGTCAGGAACAATTAAAGGACCAGGATGTTTGTGGGGCTTTGGTGCCTTCCCACTCCAGATTTTTTGGGGTTGAAACAAAACAATGAGATCAATGAGGTGAAAACTGTCTTTGGTAAGACGATGATTACATGAGCTGATCTAGAATAAATGATTCCAGAACTAATGGCTTTGTTGGTCTATATATGAAAACATCCATTATGTGGTCTCGTTTACCCCACATACAGTGTATAAAGTGAGTGGTCCATCTTTTGAATTTAATATTGATGCTTTCGTGGTTTGATTATTATGTTGCAAATATGCAAATCAGCAACAAAAAAAAAGTACTTGCATTTTCCCAACATTTTGTTTCAATATATTCATTGCTGAAGAAGTTTCTGAAATTGATTTTTTACAAATACTAAATCTTTTCTAGTATTTCTGGATGTAATGGGTGTTTTTGATAGAAGACCTCTTTCTTCTTCATATAGGTGTTGGTTGGTTTGAATATATATTTCATCAATAGTATGAAATGTACTCCAGTATAATTTTCTTTGAATTTATTGGCAATTAAATGCATTGGGGATGATATTAGCTTCTGCCTTCAGTTTCCAGGAACTCACCAACCACTCTCTCCTTCTTCCCTCTCCAGCTGGGAGCCGATAGTCAAATATGTCAACGAGCAGTACGAGAAATATTTGAGAGAGGAGCTGAACGTGAACCGGAAGAGGAGGATCCCCGACAGCAGAGTGCACTGCTGCATCTACTTCCTGCCCGCCACTGGACACACGTGGGTATTCCCTCACCCGGAGCCGGGCGATGCTCCACATGTTTGCAGGGGTTTAATCTGATTAGATGATCTCATTAGGGCGTGATACACATTCACATTCTGCGAGCAGAAGGAAGAGACTATGTTCAGATAATTTACCATCTCATGAAAGAAACCTGATGCAGGAAAAAAATGAGCAGCCACATTTTCCTTTTCGTACAGTTCTGTCCCCAGTAGCATCAGATGCATTTATACTGTGATAAAAACCATCAAACTGCCATGATGAACCCCTACAGGAACCTAAAATGTTAATGGAACCCCTCTGATTTAAAGCTTAGAAGTATAAAGTTAAGATGTGAAGTTAATCAGAAGTGCATATCATTTAGATTTGAGTTAATTTACTAAAATTGCATTTGCAATGTTATAAGTTATGTTGTTTAACTATTTACATTTTCATGTTGCACATTTATTATTTACATATTTACAGGTTTCAATATTTACTACTGCGTCTTTAAGACAGTAAGAAATAATCTGTTGAGTCTGCTTGTCAGATTCCCACTGTTTGCCTAATAGTCTAGATTCTGGCATCTCATTGGTCAGCTCGGTCATGTGAGTAAAAAACAAGGAAGTGAGAATTGGCCTGTCTCCATCCTCCTGTTTCTCCTTCTGGAGAGAGGTCCAACCACCTCTGATCCAACCCTCACCTTACAGATGTTACAGTGCATCTGTTTGAGGAATCAGGTGGCAGCTGATTGGCCAGAAAGGACACACCCCTCTCCCATCTTTGTGTCTTGGGGTATTTAACAAAGAACCAGCTTCCGTGTCCTGTCACACATGTAAACAAACAACCATAAATACCATGAACAACTTATAATCTGTGTATTTTATTGTATTTCAAGTATATTCATGTTTATATTGAAAAGGTTCTTACACAAAATTGACTTGTAAATATATGGTAAATATACTAAAACGTGCTTTCACAGTAACACTTATAAAACACTTTGAAATAATTATGTTAGATTACACTTAATAGAAATATATTATTCTAAAATATCATTTAAGTGGAAGCTATGTGTAATTTATAAATTGTACTAATTTGAAATTTTTTTTTGCACATATTTTTGATATATTCTAAAAGTACACATTTTAATAACAACACTAAATTGAGTTTGAGTGTATTTTAAGTTACATTTGAGTCTAATCAAACTTCAGGACATCCTATTAAATACCTTAGGACACAAAGATGGGAGAGGGGTGTGTCCTTTCTGGCCAATCAGCTGCCACTTGATTCCTTTCAGATGGGTTCCTCCCAACATTTAGAAAAAACCTGTACAGTATGTTAGCTTGTCTGGAGACTCCAGATTGACTTTAGTGCATGTGGAACCGAGTGGTTTGGGTCTGACCTGTCCCTGAAGGTGTGGCCTTCATTTCCCCCCAGAAAAACGCTCAGGTTTTTTGTAACACGTGTCCTCTTTGTCCGGTCTGATCAACAACTCTCTGTATTTCCAGACTGCGCCCCATAGATATCGAGTTCATGAAGAGGTTGGGGAAGATAGTGAGTATTGTGCCCGTCATCGCAAAGGCCGACACGCTCACAGTGGAGGAGAGGCAGGAGTTCAAAGAGAGGGTAAGTCCATATCTGTGCTGACACAGCCGTTTTCTGGTTTAAATTCATATGTGTTTCAGCTTTCATTTTCAATGGAATTGCTTTAGTTTTTAAAAAGTTATTTAAAGAAATATTATTCTAGAACAAACTTCTTTGTGTGTCGTTCTGTACAATTTAACTTCGATACCCCTCTTTGCTTTGGAATTGCATTCTCATGGTCTTACGAGTTGCTATATTTCTATTTACCTTGTTTGGAAACGTCAATAAAGTGTGGATTTAAAAAAATGTTTGTGTCCTTTTAAAGTGTCTTAATTGACTTTTGACAGACAATTTAAAGTGGAACCTCTCCACAAAATAGATTATCAAAATTTGTTTACGTTTTTATTCCCCCCCCCCGCAGATAAGGCAGGACTTGGCCGCCAACGGAATACGTGTTTACCCCCAGAAAGAGTATGATGAGGATCCAGAGGAACGCATGCTCAATGACCGGATCAGGGTATGAAACAAACATTACAATTATCTCTAATTAGCAAGACTGTATTAGCAACACTGTTAAAGCTGGCAGGGTGCAATAGCACCCGCGTTTATACACTAACAAACAGTCAGTAAAGGTCTGTGGAGATTCTTAGAAAGGCAGTAAGGAGCTAACTAAATGTGTAAAATACATTAGCAAGCAACTATTACAAAAACAACATTCCCATACGGAAAAGATCGAGATAAATCTTATCCAATTTGGATCTATTTTGTCTGAAACTTGTGTGTAAATTACACAATAGTGAAACCAGATGTAAGATCCAATCCATGGAAGATTTGAACAAAATTGAACTTGTGATTTGGGTATTTATTAGAACAAAATATGAATAAAGTAAATTATATTTTCTTTCTATGATGCACAATGCATGAAACATAAACTGAAAGATACCTTTTTCCCCTATTAAGTTAAGTTTGTTGTATTTCTTTTCCGTCTGGGTTGTTGCCATGGAGATAAACCTCTGCATGTTGAGAGTAGGCTGAAGCCTCAGGTCTCAAATGTCTGTTTGTCCCGCGTGTTCAGGAGAGCATCCCCTTCGCCGTGGTGGGAACCGACAAGGAGCACCAGGTGAACGGAAACAAAGTGCTGGGCCGGAAAACTAAGTGGGGGATCGTTGAAGGTGGGTGTTCGGTTTCACGCCTGCTCTTGAGATTCTGTTCTTACGCTGCTAAAGAGATCATGATCTCATTTTTTAAGGGGGAAAAACAGATAAGAAGGTTCAGTGGTTTTACCACCTATAATAGCTGGACCAGTACCACACAAAATACTTTCTCACTTGGTTTTCTCATAAACAAAATCAGAGTTTGTGAATTATTCTAGTTCCTTGATCACTCACTCCCACCACTAATTTAAAAAGCAAGGATACATATTTTAAAATCAAAGCTTTTGTATTACATGAACTGAAACACTAAATTCACACCTCGAGGTCAGTGGGATTTTCACACCACAGTCAACGGCAAGTTTATTAAAAACCTACAAGTTTCAGCATTCTACCGCTGGGAGGAAGGAAGAGGCCTATTTCATTCAATTAAATTCCATTCAAAAAGAAAGAAATTGCTGGGATACACAAATAAATGCAACTAAAGTAGTGAGCATTATCTGTACCGCTGGGCTCAAATCGAGTGGAAATGTAATAGAAATGCATTTGTCTGAGTGTGTTTTTTTGTTTTTTAAAGCCAGATCTAAATGAGATCATTCTTTTTTTTTTTCTCCAGTTGAAAATGTGGCCCATTGTGAATTTGCCAACCTGAGAGATCTGCTGATCCGGTGAGTATAACGCGCTGCTCCACAAATTCTAATCCATAAGGGCTTAAATATGGAAACATGGACATATTACTGCTTATCCACAGTCTTTGTTTAACTCCTGAGATCATTTGACATTCTCCTGATATTCTTAGTGACTGCTATGCCTCGTGCTGGGAACTGTGCACCAAAAAAAGAGAAAAACAAAACACCTCATATAAGGTTTTTCTGTCCGTACAACATAAAACTTCTCCCTTGAAAAGGAACTAGGGTGCAATTATGCCCATTGTGGAGGTACAGACAGTAACAGCTCACTGTTTTGACGTTTAGAACATGGGAATGACTTACCTTGTGCAGGATATTATACTATAAGCTGCGTGGATTCTGCAGCAAAAGGTGTCCAGGTTTGAATCCCAAACCCTGTGTGGAGTTTACAGGCTCTGTCCATTTAGCATCACCTAGTTAAACCCTTTCGGGGCTACTGTGGTTACGCTGGGGCGTCACATCCAGAGGGTTTCTGCCTCGGATCCATGCCCTCCCCACATATGTGGGTTCTCTCTGGGTGCCCCAGCTTCTTCCCTACCGTCTAAAACATGTTAGCATGTTAGATAATTAAAGACTAACTTATCACAGGTGGTGTGAGTTTACATGGTTACCGTATTTCCCGGACTATAAGTCGTACCGGAGTATAAGCCGCACCAGCTTTTATCCATTATAAAGAAAAATAAACCATAAATAACTCACACTGGTCACATGGACATACAGGTATGTTAACTTAACATGAAAATTTCAGATGGTGTATTCGTCGTACTACAGTACCCATGATGCATTTCCTTTTTTGGTGGCCATTCTGAATTATAGAACAACTCTGTCACGTACAATTGTTTTATTACGGTAAATTAATTGAGAATATATTGTTATATCTTTAATTTATAAGTTGGTCTGGAGTTTAGGTTGCATTCCTGGACAAAACATGTAAAAAAAGTGAGACTTATAGTCCGAAAAATAGGATATCTGTCTTGTAAGTATTTGCGTGGTCCTGTGATGGACGCCAACCTGTCCAGGGTGGATCCCGCCTCCTACCCAGTGACCGCTGGAAAAGGACTCAAACCCTATTGGGAATCAGCTGTATAGAAAAAAGGATGGATGGATGGATATTCTCAAATCATCACCTTTATTTTTGATGTTTTGTTGGTTTAAATCTCCAAATCACTTGGTTTCGACAGCGAGTCACGTTTTTAGACCAGTTCTAAGATGTTTTACTAACTCGTCTGGATTTAAATTCTAATTTAAAACTATGTAAACCAAATAGAATTTCAGCAGAAGGTACTCAAGTGAGTCTCTAGAGTCCCTAGATTCTATTTCTTGAATTATTTTAATACAGGTTATGTGGAAGGAATAGACTTTTAAAGTGGATCAAGTTCCTCTGGAAAACTCTGTATTGATAGTTGATTATTTACAAATGTTTTGCTGGTTTTCAAAGGTCCCACCTGCAGGACCTGAAGGACGTGACCCACGACATCCACTATGAGAGCTACCGCGTGCAGCGGCTCAACGAGAGCAACATGAACTTCAGCGAGCTGGTTCTGTCCGCCTGGCCGCTGGAGAACGGGACTGACAAATGCGAAACGGAGAGCCACCTCTGACGCCTCAAAAAAAAACCCCACCCCCCCTTTTGCTCCTTCATTCCCACAGGGGCGCCGAATGCTCACCATCCAAGAGGAAAGAAAAAGAGAACGCATCTGTCTTTTTCAAATATTGGGACCAAGTAGTGGATTTTTTAATTTTTTTTGCAAAAGATTAGACAAATGATGTATTTGAATGTGAGAAAGATGGTGACGCAGATACTTTCAAGATGGAAGTTGTCACAAGGGTGCTCATTGCGAGAGGAAAATACCCATAATCCTCCAATCCAGAGCAGATGTATATAAAAAAGTTTAAGCTTTTTCATCCAAGATTATTGTTGGTTGTTACTAAATCCTAACTTGCTGTGTTGGAGCATCTCCTGCAGCTAAAATACAAATTCTGGTGGAAAAGCTGATAAGGAAATGATTCTTTATGTATCATGTATCAGTTAAGATGACAACATACTTTGTGAGAGCGTCCATTTTATGCTTGGATCGAATATTACAGCATGTAAAAGCAGATTAATCACCGAATAATCAAACGTTCCTCCCTTCCTCTGCTGTGCCAAGTTCCTAACTGTTTCTTATTTAGAGTACAGGCAGTCTGTGTCTGTGCTGAGTCTGGGAGATCCAGCATCTAAAAACTGCTTTGTCGCTTTGGTAATCTGTGGCTTTCTGAGCAGACTAATGAACCGTTTGCATTTTGGAAAAGATGGCTGCCATCCTTTCCATCATTTGAATTGGAATCTATGGGAGATGTAACTGACTGTAGGTATGAACTTGATGATTTAACTGTAGGATTGATTTTTGGAGGACATTTTATGTTCTTTGCTGCATCTCAGCATTTATTAGCCTCTCTTTTTTTTTTCTTTTTTATTCAGGACTACGCGTCCACACTGGGTAGAACTGAAAACCGAACTGATGCCGAATATGTATTCAAAGTGTTTGGCCTATAAACAGTGTTGATGATTTTTGAAAGTACAAAGTTTTAAACTACACATTAAAGTGCCAAAACAACTAAGAAAACTTGTACAATCTTTATTTTTTTCTTATCTCAAAATGTAATTTCTGAAAATCTTTTTGAAATAATTTCATTTAAGTCAATATGATTTCCTTCTTTTGTGCCTTGCTCTGCCGTAAGTATGTAGAAGTGGGAGGAGTTGACTACAAAATATTTGAATAAGGAAACAATTGATTACTACTTTTAATCATGGGTTCCAATTACAAGTACCAGTTATCACACATGCACATACGTATCATTTATTTAGGACACCTTTCCCCTAAATTGCGTGCATAACTTGTAGACACATTTCTTCATTAAGCTCACCATCTACGTTCAGCAGTGTGTGTTAAAACTTCCCATTCGAACAGACAGTTGGAGCACTAAGACATGCTGCCAAATGCATTAGTAGAACAAAAACTAACTTAACTTTGGACGTGCATTGCAAAGGCAGAATGTCACTTCAGTGTCAAGAAACAGGCAAATCGTTTTATTTTCCAGATCTTGCGAGAAGAAGCTGTAATGAATGTGTAATAAATATGCTTTAATCTTAAGATGGTGACATATTTAATTGGGTAATGCCTTATTTAAACTTAAAAGGTCCATTTTCGCCACATGGGGAGTCAGTTAGAGTTATTGTTGTTATGTTGTTATGGTGTCAGTCCAGAGCCGGCGCACACAAGGACAAACAACCACACCAACAGTCACTCCAAGGGGCAATTTAGAGCGCTCAATTAACCCAAAAAGCATGTTTTTGTGATGTATTTCAGCAATAAATAAGCACATAATTCATTTGAAAAGGATCCTTTTGGTTTAGCAGAATAGCAAATTGGGTTAGTGGGCTTTAGTGGGCATTTGTAGTTTTTAGTGAGCGTCTGTAGTTTTTCTTAGGTGTGTTATTGCTAACCTCGAGGTTGCAGCTCTCTACTAAATGAAACTGAACAAAGAATATCTCTCCTGACGTGTTTTGACTTCTACGCCTCCCTCCTGAATCAGACCGGGGGTCTAAAAACGGCCGTGCCCACGCAGCTATTCAGCGTTAGTATGAGATAGGCCCAACTCGCCACTACACACGAGCAATTAAAGATGTTTTTCCAGGGATTTTATTTAGCACAAACGTTTATAAAAAGCCCGGAAATGCAAACAAAGTGTTCTATCCCCTTCAGGAGACGTTGGGGTTTATTCTGTGGGTAACAGCGAGTTACCTATGGGATTTTACTACTTTCTTTTCTTTTTTTTTCCTGCAGAAAAAGCTACATGATACGCTGAGAAAGCTCCACCTTCTGATCTAAAGCATAATACAAGCTCTTCAATGTTTTTCTGACAGAAAGCGCCTCATGGCTGTAAGTTTTATGCTGTTTTCAGCTCTGGATGTACATTTCAGGATGATAAATCCTGGTTTGTGTAAGTTACATAAATGCCAACGTCTAAAAGCGTAGTTTCTCTATCTGTTCTCGGGTTAGTTTAGAGTTTTGATTCCTCAGATATCGGATGACATATATATTTTTTAACCTACTGTCCCTCTTAGCTATATGTTGACCAAATCTGGAAGCAGAAACAGTGTTGCTTTGACTGTAAGCGTGAATGGTTTCCTCAAATTCGAAGAGCGCAGGTTTTTAAATCAAGGGGGAATGTTGTTTCCAAAGGATGCTGAATGAATGGAGGTGAGAAATCTCGTTATCAAAGCAACAGATAGTGTTTTGCTGTGTGTTAAACTTTAACATGTACTCATTAGTATGTATTTAGCATTGAACACTGGCTCCCTTACTAGCTATTTATAAAACTAAAAGGCATACTCATGGTTCTATTAGCGTCCAGGATTAGAAGAAAAGGTAAAAGCTGAATGGGTGTGATGTGTTTTTTGCATTTGCTGTCCATGGGGAGACTTTAAACACTGGAAGGCCAAAGAAGATATCTACTGCCACCTACTGGCCTCTTAAAAACTAAACAAACTAAACAAACAAAAGACAAGGAGCACACAGTTTCTGTCAATTTCAACATTGTCAATAAATTGTCATTATTTATTTTACTGCTTGGTTAAATTTGTGCTGTACAAGGGTCGTAACAAAAGGGTGACAGATGTAGACCAAAGACTGCAGACAGTAATATAAATTATTTGTCTTAGAAAATGACTTTGGATGATGTACCTTGGACAGGTCCGGTGTTTTCTAGTTAATAAATGTGCATGAGATTCTATGATATGTAAACGTACACGTGGAAGCTCATCAAAAGCAAAAATACTGAAAGCACACAAAACGCGTTTGTGTCCTCGAATAGAGAGCCAGAGTTTGGGAGCGACTGCAAACTGGGGTTTGAAATGGAAGTTTTGGGGGTCCAGCGGAACAAGGGTGCAGAGGATGGTGATGTCACGGCTCGGTTCTGTCGGGTTCGAGTTTTTATTCAAGTCAGGACATGTCTGTAAATGAAAGAAGGGGAAAAGTCTGCTAAATCCCCCTAAAAAAAGTTTATCAGGGTCATGACATGATGTGCACCAGTCCATTAACGCTAAGCTAGCAGGATGTCCTTAGACTAAAAGCCAACATCTTTTTTTATGACACTTCTGGCACAACTGGTGTTAAATTAGCTGCACACTGAAGTGAGCATCGGTAATATCGAGATAAATAGCGGCAAAATAAATAAGCAGGAACCTTAACGGTCTTGTTCTTGTGTGTGTTACGCTGCCAGAATATAACCAGTAAACTCTTGAGCCCTCCCAAAACCAATGACGGTGAGCAGGGAGCTTGTGCTGAAGCCGGTTTGCTGCATCATGCTCACACTTCTTATTTACATTTGTTTAGATTCAATAGTTTTGTCAGTAATAAGCTTCCACAGAATCCTCAGAGATCTCATCCCCCTTTGTTTTTAAACTACTAGACAGTGTAAACATTGCTCAGTCATGACAGAAGTTGATCTCAGATGTCGTATACTCTTATATATCACGTATATCACTCTGTTTGGCTGCCACATTCAGGACAATGACAGTAAATATAGCGGCACCGTGGGGTGCCATCTTATTCTCGAGGGACCATTACAAAGTTCACACAGACTTGCACAGAGGAAAATAAACCTTTGTGTATCCTGAAGGTTCAAAAACTTGAAGTCACTGTTAATTATGTTACTGGTTGGATGTGCACGGGGCCTCAGCCGTCACAATATAGATGATAGAAAACAACAATCAATGTATGAGCTTATTCAAGCCCCTTACTCGAAGCAAATTAAAACGCTGATGAGTGTCTCTCCAATAAATAAAATCTGCAACAAAAAAATGAATTTAAATAAATAAATACAACAATAAATAAATATACTTCTGTACACTGAAGAGATGCCAAACAACATCTAGGATGAGCCGTCCGGAAAAGAAAAGAAAACAAAAAAAAACAAAAAAAAAGACACAGACCGAGTTTCAAAACATGCGTGGTCTGCTTTGTCCATACGTGGCCCGGCCCGTCTCGCTGTGGTCAGCGGTCATCATCTGGACGCGGCCGGGCACACGTGACGCGCGGCCGCGGCGGCATTTGGCACAACGTAACACTGACTCTGATCCGGCTCATCCTGTGGGGGGGGGGGCAGCACATCTGGAGGTGCAACAAGGCAGAAAAGCAGCACTCACTGCTGAGCTTGTAGCCATTTCACGTGGGGGGAAAAAAACGAGCAAAAAACCCCCAAAAAACAATCGTCCACCACTGGCCTCCCAGCCTGTTGGTTTATGGGAAGTCTCACCATTTTCCAGTATCACCAGTAGGGATTTTCTTTACCGGAACAAGACATGGAATACACAGCCGAGCAGATCTTTGCTCAAGATCTTTAGGAAAATCTGAGGTTGAAATGCAATATATTTCCTCGAGACTGTGTTTTTTAAATTTTTAGTTCTCATTTACAACTTGGCTTTTATGATCTGTTGTTGGCAGCCTGTGCTGTTCCAAGATCTAAGCTGTTTTTGTTTTTTTATATTCAAAAACCTCCAAAACCAATAAGCCAGAGGCATTTCTTCTGAAGAGAAGGACAGGATAGCTTCCAAAACATATTGCTTTGTCGGTCAATCTCATCCTGAGATCAATTTCCAACGCACAAAAACAAACATGGAGCTTCCCGTTCTAAATGGTCCGGATGGTTTAATCAATAAAATGCATAAAATCACCATAAACCGACAGTTGTTGTTTTTTTTTTTCAAATAGAATTTCCATATTGACCCTGAGCCCCTATTCCTATGGTGGACACTGTGACGGTCACTCTTCTGGTAAATACTGAACTCACTCAGCCTTTCTTTGTACACTTAAAGAAATCTGGCCTTTCAAATTGCATCCCGCGGTGCGTTTAGCAGATTCCTGGACACACGTGGTCAAATGCACTAAGAAAAATAAATCACAAAACGTCATATGTGTCTGTTAGCGTCAAAAGATGGAACCAAATAAAATGTTCCAAAAGCAACAGAACCAATCTGCTCAGTGATGTCATTCGTTTACTGTCCAGGTACATCCAGAGCTCAGGATGTGTTTGTGACATGTGACTCTACTCTAGTCATCGTATGACACAAAAGCAGCCAATCAAAAGAAACACCAGCATTTCGACGTCCTCAGCTCCCTGCTTTCCACCGGACTGACCACTTTGATCAAGTCTGGACTATTTATTCCAAGCCGTTCCGAATCATCAGGGTCAATCAAGCGTGCGGAAAAAAACAAGAAAAAAAAAGAAAGAAAAAAAGCCAATGTAAACAGTTGTCTTCGAACGTCTCTTCATCTTTTTCGTTTTTTCCGTCTTTGTTTCTTCTCTCAGACGTCCCGATGGCGTCCCAGGAGACGAGGAGCTGGGAGTCTACGACACGTTTCACACTGCCCGATGCGTCTGATTTCTGGCATGTGGCGTCTTCCTCAGAACAACCCAACCTCTGGAACCTTCTCAGAAAAGCAGCCGTCCTACTGTACAAGCTGATGGAAGTGAGTCTCAGGTGTCTCCAGGACTTGGATTGGCTTATCTTACCACATACAGTCCGTTTTGCGGAGTGTGTTTGGGGTGTGTGCGCGCACGTGTGAGTCCCCGCGGCTGAGATCCTGCAGCCTGGCGGGGGCCTCCCTCTGCACGGCCCCCTCCTCTGAGAAACACATCAGAGTCTTTGGAGAGACGCTTCTCTTTCTTTGAGCAAAAAAAAAAAAAGAAAAAAAAAAGAAAGCCTTTTGGGCAGAGAGACTCGCTGTCCGACAAGACGTCACCGAGCCCCGGGCCCCCCTTCAACGGTCCGGCTCAGGCCCCCGCCCCCCCTCCGGCCCCCCCGCCGGCCCCCGCCGCGCGCCGGCACCTGCCCTCCGGCCTCTCGCTCAACCTGCGGGTCAGTCCGGTCAGTGGGGTGTGGAGGAAGACGGGCGGGATGTGGAGACAGGCAAAAGGAGGGTGGGGTGTGGGGGGGGGGGGGGGACCGGTGTGGGAAATGTTCTGTATCCTGGGTGGAAGGTTAAGAAAAGTGAGACAGAGGAGGAGGAGGAGGAGGAGGAAGGTTGAAACAGAGTGGTCTGCCAATCCAGGACTCGGCGGCCTTATTCGATGACCATGCAGCGGGGCAGGTGCTGAGAGTAGTATTTGAAGAGCTCAGCCGTGGCCCCGGGGCAGTTGGTCAGCTCCAGCTCCTCCAGCTCGTGCAGCTGGATGAGGCCCGACAGGCCGGTGGTGGTCAGCAGAGGGCAGCCTGGAGGGGCAGCAGGAGCACAGTGGTCAGACTCGGTCAGAGGAGCAGAAAACTCTACGGATGGTGTGTCCACAGCCATCCCAATTCTGCCTTATTATGCATTAGCCTGAAAAAATGTGCTTTAACAGGAAAATATTTGCTAAATTGACTGATTACTCTTTGCAAAATAAGAAAAAATTATCCAAAATTTACCAGAAATGTCACAATGGAAAAGGCACAATGAAGCGACTTTGTTTTATTACAGTACACAGATAAAGAAAAACAAAATTTAAACTAAGAAAGCTAAATTGGTTTATTACTACTTTATTAACCCTTTAAAGCCTGATCCAATAAAATAAAAAAAGACTTAAAATGAGTCTTTATTTGGCCTTTAACAAAATATATTAAAGAAACTGAAACACATTTTTTATATTAATAATTTATGACTATGCAATAAGTCAATATTATTTTCGTGTAGTCTTCTGCCCCCTGTTATCAGGTGTATCTGATTGTGTACAACAGGATTTTGTAAAAGTTTTTACCATTAAATTATGCAAAAGGTGTCAGACGCAAAACATTTCAGAAACCGAATATATCAAATATGATACATTTGGCTTTACAGGGTTAATTTAGCTCATTCTATTGGCCAGTTTTCCAATCAAACTTAAGCTACAAAGCAATAAAACGGACCACTGGCTATATTTCAAGAAATGTTTTTTCTAAAAACCGTAACATTTCAGTTTGACGTGTCTTTTAGGTAAAGCCCTTTAAAATCTGGACAATACGCCCCGTTTGTCGTGACACTCTAATGACACTGATCGTGAATATTTGTCCCTTTTAAAGAGACGGTCACAGAGACATTTGTGTAAATACAGATGATGAAAACAGTGACATTCACACATAACAATAACTGAGTACAGTCAGCGTAGTTAAGAGAATGTCAACGAATGAATTATCCTGCATGAATCATCACAGAATGACACCGTATTTTCCCAGTAGTTCAACAAGATTCAGCTGGTTGAGCTGTTGTAAACAGAGCTAGAAACAGAGAACAATTCCAAGTGGATATTTGTTTTCAATGGCCACTTACCGACCCATAAAACCTACTCAGTGCCATTTGATTTGAACCGGTGCCTCTGTATGGGGGACCTTGGACTAGAATTTTGAGCTCTGGTGGATCCCAGTCATTTGAAATCGGAGTTCATGTCGTCGTTTTTTAATGCACGTCTTACTTTTCATGGGATACGGGAAAGGGGGGGGGTCGTGCTGCAGGAAGATGTTGTTACGTAACGCTCTGGGTGAGTCACACTTAAGCAGCGGTGGGAGCTTTTTTGGGGGGAGAAGTCTCACCTGCGAGCGACAGTAGACGAAGACTCCTCATCCCAAACAAATGCTGCAGTCCAAAATCCTGCACCTGCAAACACATCGCCAGGTTTTACTGAACTGAAGAAATATTGCTGTCAGAGTCTGTGCTGGTGGGATGGAGTGGCACTTTATGTATCAAATGGAAGGAAATGAATAATGAACCCAGTTGAAATTGAATCTAAATGACCTAGCATGTATTTTTTATCATAAGAAAGAAGTCTTTTTAACTTCAAGTCTGCTGGTATTAACAGGAAAACATCCAAAAGGGGGTAAATGATTTCCATGTAGCTTTGTTTGTAAGAGCAGAAAAAGTCATAAAGACAAAACTAACCGGCTAAGTCAATATGTGTTGGTGAGAAAATGAGGAGAATTGTTTCACTAAGAAACCAGATCACACACTTCTGATAAACTTTGAAAGCATGAGCCTATCTCTCTATCAACTGAACACAGAAAATCAACTGGGGACAAAGTAATGTTACAAAGTCTTAGTTCCCAGTTACAAAACATTTAAGAAAGATCTTTTTAGGAGGTAATCTGTTTACTAACCTTTTACTAACTAATCTTGCCTTTGTATTATAACCTAAAGCTGAGAGCAGCATCACACATCACTAAATCCATACTTTTATTGCTAATCAGTACAAAAAAATGGACAGAATTGAAAAGATATCCAAAATCTTTGAACAAGAATGTATCAGACATATGAAACAATGGCAGTCAAAGTAGTTCTAATTATGTTATGAATGATTAAATAATATCCTGTGTTTAAAAAAAAGCAGAGGTTGAATTGATTTCAACTTTGCTGTTAAAATCCAGGCCAAAAACAGCTGAATTTGCTGTGCATATGAAAGCAGATGATATTTTTTCACTTTTTTCTTATGATTGAATTAATTATTTATTCAGTTTTTTTTTTTTGTGGTATAGTTTGAAGGTTTTTTTTTTTTCCCTTTTAGGGTTTTATGACGTAAATCATTTTGGATTGCCATGTGTCTGAATTGTGTTCCGCAATAAAAATTCCCTTACCTTTACAAAAAGACCCTTTAAAAAAGCTCTTCTGTGATTTATAACATTTAGAGTTTGGTGTTTTTCTCACCTGACAGCACCAGCGCAGATAAAGGCTTCTTAATGAGGACATGGTGGACAGGTAGCCCAACCCCGTGTCTGTGATCCGCACACACCTGGAACAAGGAGAAACAGAAATAAAATACTCAAAAATTATCCTTATCTAAAATACAGCATGATGAGTTTATCCTTAACAAGAAGTTTTTAGAGGATTTCTCATTTGGACAAGTAGATAAAGATATAGATTTGCGTGGAAAGAAATCCATGCTTTTCTTGGTTTAATAATAATTTTCTTTACAATAATGAACATCCTACATCATATTGTGGTTTTAATGATGGAGCCCTGAAGGATTAGTGGATAAGTCTTTAAAAAATGTGTTTTAGGTCAGCTTGACAGCTAGTTTGCTGATCTGATAAGAGGCCCGTGAGGTCACACACATACACATAAAGAAACCTTCATTTTCAGAACTGAAACCAGAGTTTGGAGCAAATTAAGATACATTCTTAGTGCGTTGTTTTAAAATATCTGAAACTTTGATTCATGTTTGCTCTGGATCAGTTTGGATCAGAGTTTTGGAGAAACTCTCCAGTTAAAGCTTCCAAAGTCTCACCTCATAGTGAAGCCTGCCCCCCCTCTGGGAAGTCAGACTTAAAGTTCGGTTTTACGACTAACTTAGCTCAACATAAAGGAAGTCAGCTTCAGTTCACTTAGCTGTAGCTCTGGTCATGCTAAGTAGAGAAACTCTGTTCATGTGTCAGTCCCCATGACGACTGAAAAAGGTTTCTGTCCACGAATGTACCAAAATAACTGTTTGTTTAGAGCTCGATTGTGTGGAACTCTTCGTTATTTGATGGGGGCATTATCACATTTGTGTGCTGTCCAGCCTCTCCTGCTAATGAAACACATAACCACCACATTTCTACCCTACATTTGCTCTAAATACTCTTTTAAACTGAGACTCTGATTGAGAAACGTAAGGAGTGATGAAGACAGAGCCCTGAGCATGATAATCCACTTCAGAAGCGGTTTCTAAATCAGACTTAGAATCAAAGATTTAGATATTTTAAGACACCGCACTGAGAATGTATCTTAATTTGAGGCTGACCTAAATCATCAGCATGTGAATTGTTTGACTGAAAATGCCAGAAAATAAACAGGTGGAATGAAAAGTGTTCAACCCATTAATCCTCAGTCTCACAGTACCGGTTACCAGAGGACTGGCAAGTATTTATATATAACTACCGACCCACAATTTATTTGTGTATATCCAGATAAACGCAAATTATTTTGGGTTTAAATGTGGTACTTTATATGGAATGATTTACTTCTGTAATCTGTATAACGTTTGGGGGGTTACGCTACCTACTTATTACTGTTTCTACAACAAACCGTCTCATTTGAATTGAATTTAATCGTTTCCAAGACAGCTTTGGCTGGTTGACTCTGATGTGAGCGTGTCTGGAGGACTACAAACATGGCTGACCTGTCCAGCACCAGCTCCTCCAGCTTGTGCAGGTCGCAGGCGATGTACTCCAGGGCCATGTCGGTGATGCGGGGGCACCAGGACAGGTCCAGGCTGCGCAGCTTGCGCAGGTTCTCGGCCACCAGCTCCACGCCGTCGTCGGTGATCTTGGAGCAGCCGGACAGGCTGAGCGCGGTCAGGTTGGGGAGGCTGTGCACCATGTTGACCACGCCGTGGTTGGTGATCTCCCAGCAGGAGTGAAGCCGGAGAGTGTGGGTGGTGTAGCCCTGTAGAACGGAACATTGTCATTACGTTATGGAGTGAATTACCCTCCAGAGAGCCTGTTCTCATATGAGGACGCTGCATTTCTGCCTCTCTGTACCAGGATCCTGCTTTTTTCTTTGATCTTTGACCTCTTGGCCTCATAACAGACGGTCCAAATGACTTATTTTAATTCCACAATAAGAACAATGATTGGTGTAAAATGTCTAAAAGAAAAGATATTTAAAATCTTTGAACAAGGGTGTATCAGACATATGAAATAATGGCAGTCAAAGTAGTTCTAATTATGTTATGAATGATTAGATAATATTGTGTGTTAAAAAAAAGCTGAAGTTGAATTGATTTAAACGTTGCTGTTTAAATCCAGGCCAAAAACAGTTGAATTTGCTGTGCAAATTGTGAAAACTGATGATATTTTTTCACTTTTCGCTTTTGATTGAATTTATTGTTTTATTATAATTTTAGTTTTTCCTTTGTCGTATAGTTTACAGTTGATTTTTTTCCCCTTTTAGGGTTTTATGACGTAAATCACTTTGATTGCCATGTGTCTGAATTGTGTTCTGCAATAAAACTGGTCTTAACTTTTTAAAAAAGACCCTTTCTATGATTTATAACATAGCTTCTTAATGAGGACATGGTGGACAGGTAGCCCAACCCCAAACCTATTTCCCTTTAGGTTCCAAACAGTAGTGTCTGATAGCGTCTGCTATGAGGCCAAGAGGTCAAAGGTCAAAGAAAAAAGAAGGATCCTGGTCCAGATTGGCAGAAATGCAGCGTCCTGACGGGAGAACAGGCTCTCAGGTGTAGGAACGGGGGGGGCGTCTCCCACCTGTTTGGCTGTGAAATAGGCCATGGCCGTGTCGGTGACGTGGTAGGCCTGCAGGCTGAGCTCGGACAGGTTGGGCAGGAGCTGGGAGATGGCAGCGATGGCGTCGTCGGCCACGTTGATGCAGTCGCTGACGCTGAGGGAGGTGAGCCGCGCGTTCAGGCTGGACCACAGCCCCGCCTCCGTGAAGTCATTGCAGCCCGACAGCTCCAGGTGCATGAGGCCCTGCATCTGCTCCAGCATGACCTGAAAACAGCCGGCGTCACACACACACACACAACGCCATCAGGAGGAATGCGCACGCTGTCAGGAACAACAATCGTGAGTCCTGAAAAATGAAAGAGCAGCAATTGATGCTCACATCTGCCCCAAAATGTCACTTTGACTTCATCAAACAGGATCTTTTGCAGAACTGTTCTGTGGCTCCTCCTTTTCCAGAACTAGGGAGAGATCTTTTTCTAAATAAATAATAGTAACATTGTTATCAAAACAATTCTACAACTGTAAAATTCCAACAAATCTGGGCTTTATAACACACGTAATGATAGACTAACAGCTTCCATGCAAAGCAGACGTTCATCCATAAATACAGATGATGTGAATTTGAAATGATGATGGAGTGAAATCTATCTATCTATCTATCTATCTATCTATCTATCTATCTATCTATC